TTCATCGCCCTGATGACGGAGGCAGTATGACCTCTGAAACGTTGGTTAACATCGACCAGCCTACACAGCGCAATAACCCAGAAGACGGATATCTTCGTCACAGGATATGTCGCATGATACACAGAAACTTTATTCGAGGTAGCGAACACCATTAAATTGTGTTGTGTAAAAGAAAGATCTGTGGTTAATTAGAACAGACCAAACAGATTTGTACAGCTTTAATGTGTCTGACTTTCTGTAAGGTGCTTGTTGGAAGTGGGTGAAGAATCAGTCGTGGAAATACTTTTTACTTATTTATATCCTGTCTGCTTGCCATTTTGCTGAAGATAAGAATTTTTCTAGTTTTTTGTGGGCACAGATCTTTTCTTGGAACTACTTCTGTGGAATCCTCAAACTGAGAATACAGTAATTTCCACCAGACAGATAACACATGGGTGGAAGTTTCAGACCTTATACGAGGTGCGATCGGAAAGTTTCTAGACTGCACCTATAAAAACCCGTACACTTATCTCAGGTATTAAATTCATCCATCACCCTCGAAGTAGTTCCCCTGGGAGTGAACACAACGCTCCCAGCGCCGCTGCCAAGCCTGGAAGCATCCCTGGAAATCTTTCTTTGTCAGCCTGTCAAGCACCATCTGCGATTCTGCCTGAATCTCTTCTATCGTCTCAAATCTCCTTCCCTTTAGCTGAATTTTCATCTTTGGGAAGAGGAAGAAGTCACACGGAGCTTAGAAAGGAAGTTGGGGTCGGTTCTTGCAAGATCTTTGAGCTCCTGACAAACGAGAAGTCGATTCTGCTTCTGGTCCTCAGACAGGAGCCTTGGCACAAACTTGGCTGCGATGCGTCGCATGTGGGGGTCTTCCTTTAGAATCAGCTGACCGGTCCCATAGCCTATCCCAACAATGTCGCATTAGTCGTTGATGGTACGACGTCGATCTTCGTAACATTTTCGGGCGTTGTGCTCGGAGATGGTCGTCCAGAACGCTCGTCATCATCGACAGGGGTTCGGCCATTTTTAAAACGTGAATGCCCCACAAAAGTTTGTGCACGACCCATTGCGGACTCCCCAAATGCTTGCTTTAGCATTTCATAGGTTTCCGTAGCCGTTTTGGCGAGTCTTTGGCAAAATTTGATGCACACGCCATTCCGAAATCGCAGGAGGGTCGGTGTAATGCACTACCAAAACTCCCGTAACTAAGAAACAAATGCTAATTCGATGATGCCGGCTGGCACACTGATCCACTATGAATGTAGGGCGCACCCCCTAAAGGCAGAAGCTCGTACTACATCCGGTTCGCCCGCTATTTATACAGTCTGGAAACTTTCCGATCGCACCTCGTATTGGTATTAATGTTGATTAAAGTGCTTATAGAACATTCTTAGGAGCAGGCAAAGAAAATACAGATTAAAATATGTTAAATGTTGATGTTGTAAAGAAACTAGTCACATTTACACTTAGATTTCTTCTGAAACAGTGGATATCCAAGACTATCTTGTTTCGACTGGTGAAGGAAATCGAAGCCGTGGATGAAGCGTTGCAATGCCACGGTCTGGCAGATGTTCGAGTAGGTTCAGTTGGCCTAGAGCGCCTTAAGAAGACAGCACAGATTCTTCAGGTGGCACAGAATATACCTACTCTGATTAGTCTTATTCCTTTCTTGGAGCTCACATCAAATCAAGAATATCTTGTGACACGAATCAAAGGTATGTTCATAATTTTTCCTTCGTTGTGAAAAGTTGAAACAAAAGTTCTTGTGGCTGATTGCTGTCATTATGGTTTTATTGTCGCTGCAAAGCTTACAGTAACTGTAGTCTCTGTGATGATGTTCCTTGGTTCTACGACCCATTTGTGGGTTTTTGCCGCCTCTTATTCGGAGGTTTCCTAGTCTTTGAAGTGTGCAGTTACACAGCTGAGTCTTGGAGCCATTACAAGAAGCAAGTGTGTAAATCGAAATTAACGAGTAACAGCAGCTTTGTTTAGGCCCACAGTTCAGATAGAAAAGCAAGTACCTGAAACACTATTTCTTATTTTTATTGTTTTCTAGAGCTGGCAAAAGGTGGATGTATGAGCGAATTTCGGTGGAATAGTGGCGGAAGCCTTCACAATAAGGACTGGGAAGAACATTTGCCTACAGATGCAGCTGTAAGTACTGTTCCTACGTACACAGTCTGGCTTTATGGCTCAACATCACAATACTTTTTAGGGTCTCCAGATAATATCCGTATGCCATTCTAGTCATGTCTATCATAATTGCTAGCCTTTTTATGATATAACCAAGTAGCTATTTCCATAGAAAGCTGATAGTTGCCCAGTTGGTCAAGACATTTCCATCTTTTATGGAATCTTGGGGGTGACCAGGGTTTGATCTCCAACAGGGGCAAAGGATTTTTCCTCTAGCCTCTGTGTCCAGACTGGCTCAGGGGCACACCCAGCCCCTTATCCAGTGGGTCCAGGGGTGGCTGGAACGTGAACCTGGCCACTCGCCCCCATCTAGTGTCGAGGTTAAGAATGATTAGGAGCTATACCGCCTCTCCCCTAAACTACCTACATGGCGTGTAGTAGAATGACTTTACTTTTTTTTAAAGTTTCTCTGAACTTCTCCTTTAAAATCTTTACTGTTCATCAGAAAAAGAAGTTATCGTTTTGTATATTTTTATAGTTTCATAAGTACAAGATCCAAAGTAAGCTGTGTGGTAATGCTCAGGTCTTATGGCCATGAAAAATTGTCGATTATAGTCGATGCTGTAAGTAGTTCTTTTGTTTGAAGTTTATTTTTTATCTGAGGTGGTTATTAAATACAGCTGTCATTTGTGTGCGTGACTCAAGCAGAATCAAACAGAAAAGTGACTGAACTGTCTTCTGTTCTCATATCTTTGACTGTTACAATGAATATTACTTTTTCACTGAAAACTAAATTTATGACTTCAAGTGAAGAGGTGGCCATGTTTGACGGTGTGTTTAAAGAGCTGTGGTTTGTGTCCAAGAATGATATCGGGTATCTTTGATGAATATTTCAGTCTGTAGAAAATTTTTCAGTTGCTGTGAGCTATGTCCCAGCTTGCTTTTCTCTCTAACCCTTCCAGGGTCTCCATCCTTTTCTTCTCTTTTCATCCTGTTTTGCTGTTTCTTTCCTTTCTGTCATCTTAGGAATTTAGGGACAAGAAAATGAGGGATATGAATAATTATGAATACTTCATCCTTTTCTTTTAATTGCAAACACCACATTGCTCACACACTAAACATAATATATATGTCAAAATCTCAGTTTTATTGGACACATTTTCTCCGTTATATCCAATAACTTGTTCCTGTCATTGAGTAACTGGACAGCATTTTGTCTGAATTTGATATTATCCACACATTGAGAAGCCCATATCAGTTTTTAGTTTTTTTAATATTATCCGCACACCAATATTTTAACAAAGCATAACAATTTGATTCTCAATACTGTCGCTGATATTCCTGTTATTTTTGATGCCTTCTACCCTGTTCATAATTGACATGCACTCACTTCTACCATTATGTCTTTATTATAATGTTGGTGGAGGCAACGATCAGCGTACTTATCGTATTTTGACACTTTCACGCAGCGCGATTACATTTTTATTGTAAAGAGAGGCTTGTACACACTCTTATATACTTACGTTATTACTTATGTCTCGCACGTCTTTTATTGTGTTACTCAACTTTGCAATGCTGTGATTTTTTTTTATAATTTTCAGGTTGTAATGCACCTTTTTGCAACATATTTAGACTCTCAGCTACCTCCATTGCCTCATAATCCAGATGGCCGCCCATTCACATCTCAGCACTTTGCAAAAACTCCAGACAAGCCTCCGCAGGGAAAGAACACACTTGCTATTTACCAAGTTCAGATGAATCCGCCCCACTATGTCCTTCTGGAGGGTGAGGAAACATTGGAAGTTCCAAAGGTATAGTAGAGCAATTTGTGGCAGTAAAAATTATACAGACAGTAAGCCATATTACTGTAATATTACAGCATTGACTTAAAATTCCATCCAGTTTTATGGATATTAGCCTTTATTGCATGGGAATAGGACATTTAAATGTCCATATACAGTGTGTCCACAAAGTCCCTTTGGGGTTTTGAAAAATTGTGGCGCACAAACAAATTGAGCTAACCACATGCGGTTTGCGGCAGATTACAGTGAAACTGTGGAAGTTTTTTTACTGACCTCAGTAGACCTTGATGTGGGCTCCCTTGGTAGCACGGAGAACGTCCAGACGATATTCGAGCTCTTGCCATGTTCTGTGGAGTGATCTAGGTACGCGCGTACCTGCAGACCCCAATGAGGTGGAGCACCATCTTCCAGAGTTCCACTGTAATCTGCTGCAAACCGCATGTGGTTAGCTCAATTTGTTTGCGCACCACAATTTTTCAAAACCCCGAAGGGACTTTGTGGACACACTGTACATCTTTGCCAATTAGACTATAATTTTATTTTTAAAGGTTTAGTTGTGTGCTGCTGCGGTGCATGGTCATAATAGATCGTGCGTAAACGTGACACAAATATTTATAGGACATAAATTATGTGGTATAATATAGATAACTGTAATTTTATTGTAGAATAATGTTTACATATTACTTTTTAGTATTACACTTTTTTTTAACAACAGAGTCTTTTGATCTTTGAGAATTTTTAATTTTCAGTATGGATTGTATAAAAAATTCTGTTCGTATCAATAATTTTTAGAATAGAGAATGACACTGACTATATTGATCATACTGATCATCAATGGAGTACTGTTCAAGACTGTATTCTTGAAACTTGCAAGGAATGAAGGAAGTCCGAAGCGTTAAAGGCTACTGCGTAGCAGACGCTATCTTTCATCCTTCTTCACCCCACTTCCTCACCCTGCAAGTCTCAAGATTACAGTCGTGAACAATAGGTTTTTAAAGTGAAGCTATTTGTTGGGTGCAAGATGTATCCTGAATGTCACCGAATATAATGGCCTTCTAAAAGCTGTTAGTGGGAAAAAGGTCTGGTCCATGTACTGTGGTTCCAAAAACAATTTTTTTTAAATTTAGTCCCATTTTCAGATTAAATTCTGCAATAATTTTTGAAAAGATTAGGAACCTGTTGGTTTGACAGTTGCCTGTAATTAATTTTTCTGCGTTACTATGATTATGCTTTTTAGCTTTTTGTATTTAACTTTATACAGTGATTTGTACGTAGACAGTATTTTCATTTGTATATTGTGAAGCTTTCACTGCAGCTGTCATCAATAAGATCTCCTCTCGGGCCATCAGCGGTGTCAGATGAGTAAGACTTGCTGACGTTTCGAGGACCACCTCTGTCCTCATCCTCAGGTCTACTCATACTGTATGTTCTAAGAGACCCACATATATACCTGCTTTTCGCTCGTGAATGGATCTGAGCACGAGCCAATGGAGGGGCTGGTGGGCAGAGTCAGTTGCTTTGCTTCACTTGCGCCTGACTTTTGATTGGCGAATCTCTGAATTGTTTGATTATGCTGATCACTGGATCCCAGGAACGAACAAACGCAAAGCCTCTTTCTCTGTTAAAATTTATGGGGTGAAGCCTGATGTCATTAGCCTCTTTTGGGTTATAGGGAAAGTATCCTGACATGTATGTTAATGATCAGTACAGAGCTGTGAGACGAATGATGTGTGACTGTTTACTAAGCGACGAACATTTTCTTCCAACAGGGTCGTAACAATTTGTTCCACACCCTGTTGCTGTTCCTTCATATAGTTAACACAAAGGAGCATGGGATGTTGGGCCGAGTGAACTTGGGCCCCTCTGGTGTCAATTTGCTCTGGGTGTTACAAACATGAATATTTCATTTGCGGCAAGTATTCTGTTGTTATTTAGCAATTCTTTATCATAAAAAACATGTTTTATGCCATCCAAAGTAATTTTGATTTTACGGTACAAAGATGTACTGAAACTAGAGCCGTGTATATTGTTAGCTTTCAACGTACACTGTTTGTCTGTGTACATAATTTTTACTTATGTATAAGCTTTAGCAGTTCATTTTTACTGATATGTTCTTGTGTTCCAGCTGTGGTAACATTTAGGTACTCTTTTTAAAGGAACTCTGCTCATTGCATAATGTTGGGTTTGCGCAGTTATAATTGATGTAGGATCGGTATTGAAGGTTTTCACGGTGATCGAAGAAGCGTTTACCAGTTTGAAATATGTTGTCAAATTGACTTGTATAAATTCTTATTATACTCTTTGGTGTGAATATTGTGCAGTATCTCTTCATTTCTAGTTGTGTCTTCATGGTGGGCACATAAAGATCAAGGGAGGTGTTATTGTAGCTGTGGATTTCAGATTTCAAATGCTTCTTCAATAACCAGAAAGTGTAGAGTAGCACAAAGTTTTTGGATAGCAAGGATGGTATTTCCGATGAAAGTTTCCTCATTTTATGTTAAGAGCAGCAACCATTTGTAATAAATCATTCCTAGTTTACATATAGTTCGCAAACAAACTTAATGGATGAAGATTTCCGTCTTCTGGGTTGTTGCGCTGTGTAGTCTGGTCGATGTTAACCAACGTTTCAGAGGTCATACTGCCTCCATCATCAGGGCGATGAAGATTTCTGTCTTCTGGGTTGTTGCGCTGTGTAGTCTGGTCGATATTCATCGCCCTGATGACGGAGGCAGTATGACCTCTGAAACGATGGTAAACATCGATCAGACTACACAGCGCAACAACCCAGAAGAGAGAAATCTTCATCGCCCTGATGACGGAGGCAGTATGACCTCTGAAATGTTGGTTAATAACGACCAGACTACACAGCGCAATAACCCAGAAGATGGAAATCTTCATACTCACCGCTGTGAGAACCTCAAGTCTTACAAAATTAATGGATGTTTTAGGTATCGGTATTTTGATAATATATTATAATTACATGACACAAATATAATATATGCTTTCAGACTTCAATTTAATACACAGTTCCCTAAAATTCACTATTGGAAAAAGACAAATTAAATTATTTACATTTGACTATTATGAACAAAGAAAAAAATTGGAATTTGTTATATGTGTAGAAGACCAACAACCAACTGTCATATTCATCATGATTCATGTCATCTGTTTGAACATAAGACAACTGGCATAAAATACTTGGTCAGTAGAATGGAAAATCCCTGTAAACAAAATAAAAACGAATCAGTAAAAATAATGCCAGTGAATAATATTCCTTCATTGTTATCAACAAAATGCCCTGTAAAAAATCTCGATACAGAAAGACTTTATAATTCACAACCTAAAAAATGGGCTACCCATGTGTATAATACGAGGCGCGTCCTCAAAGTAAGTTTCCCTGGGGCCGTTTACAGAAACAAAACACAATTTCATTGAAATATTTATTGCAACAGATACAGCAAGTGTCCAGCTATTTTTCAACATATTCGCCACCGGAATTGAGACATTTGTCATACCGTGGGACCAACTTTTGAATACCTGTGTCGTAGAAGTCTGCCGCCTGGGATTGGAACCACTGTGTGACAACCATCTCCGCCTCTCTGTCATTCTCAAAACGCTGACGCTGACCGGACAGGAATTTCTTGAGGTGTAGGAAAAGATGGAAATCACTGGGAGCGAGGTCCGGGCTGTAGGGTGAATGATGAAACACCTCCCAGCTGAACTCCTGCAGGAGACTCGCTGTCCGTCGAGCCGTGTGCGGCCGAGCGTTATCACTGACCGCACTTCACAGTCGGCGGGAGCTGGAATAAGAACCTCCATCTTCAACAGCTGCAACGATGCTACGGTGAGAACGCGGGAGGTGCCGTTAGTGCATGCGCCATGCTACGTCATTGCTCTAACACGTACGCACAGTCGCTTCGCTCAATATAAGGTTTGCTAGCTGTGGGACGAGTGGGAAACTTACTTTGAGGACGCGCCTCGTACATAACTCCGAGTCTCTGGTAACCAACTACAAGTCCGAATGACGTCACAACCCGGAAGATGACCACTGAAAATTTTTGGTTTAAATTATTAAAGTATTATATGTTTTGTGCCGACACTGGTGACAGCTTCAAAACTAATATCACGCGTAAGGAGAGCGTAGACCTTTGACGTTGAAGACCTTGCGAGGAGAATTCTGCAATTTGTCTGAACGAAGTTTTTGAAAAAAAAAGGAGGTACGTGAGACAAGACCTAGGCTAGAAGAGAGTTGTGTCCAGAATAAGAAGAAGTCAAAGCATTACCAGCCTCGCGGTGTTACTCCGGAAGCCAGCGTGACTGGCTTGCTTTCCAAAGTTTGTAGGACCAGAAATGATATTCTGTATACCTTGACGTAGATTGGAGAAACATAAAAAAAGACAGATCATTGGTTGCAATGGGAACCAGTAACACGTTTTTTTGTAAAAGTTTATCAATGTTCTGGTTTCATGGTTAACAATAATTTTCATGAATAGCTGAATGATTTATTTTTATCAGACGTTGAGCGAAGATCCTAAAACTCGTTGCCATTCAATCAGCCATTTTCCTTTTCGTGTGTTGGAAGAGTTTTCCAGCCGGCCCTTCAGCCCAGCGCTATCCTAAGCCACCTCAAGACTTTAATTTCTCCTAACGTTGCCCTCTCATTTCCATTTATCTGTCATTTGGACTTTCATATTATCCTCCACCTAAATCTCTGTCGTCATTCTTTCAATTATGTATCAGAGCCATGTGACCATCACATGGTATCGCCCCAGATTTTACCATCCTAACAAAACTGCTCACCTGGATAAGTCACAAAGGTTCTCGTTAGGAAATACAGTATCTTATTTGGTCATTAATTAGTAAGGCAGCCATCACCTAACACATCCTTCTCTTAATTGTAGTTAATTAGACCGCTAATGATTTAACTTGTTTTATATTTCAGACAAGCTACTAGTCTTATCCACGGAGTAATGACATGGACACTGAGAAAGAATGGAACGACATTATCAGGCAGTGTTATATAAACCCATCTCTAGATGGCAGAATCGGTTTATGGTCCGTTGTAATCAGGAACATTTTTTATTCTCACACCTGCGATAGAAAATTATACGCTAAATCAGTGGTATTCAACCTGGGGTACGCGAAGAAATCTTAGGGTGTACGTGAAATTTAAAAAATATATATATTATTTTATTATAAACACTGAATAATCAGTAATGAAATTCATTTAATTTATTTTAGATGTAGATTATATACTATGTATAACTTGAATTATACACCAACAACTTTGGGGGTACAAAGTTTAAGAGAAATTACATCTGGGGGTACGAGAAGACATCTTAGGGGGTACGTGAAATTTAAAAAATATATATATTATTTTATGATAAACACTGAATAATCAGTAATGTAATTTATTTAATTTATTTTAGATGTAGATTATATACTATGTATAACTTGAATTATACACCAACAACTTTCGGGGTACAAAGTTGAAGATAAATTATATCTGGGGGTACGCGAAGACATCTTAGGGGGTACGTGAAATTTAAAA